TTAATAAGGAATTGGTTGTTGATGGTCCAGGTATCACCGCCTTCACACTGTATACATAACTGGACTACACCAGAAATGTACTTTCCATCAACAGCAACTTGCATTTATGGAGAGCACTGGGACGTGAAAGGCACTGTATTCTTTCCATCAACAAAACAAAAAAAAATAATAAATTGGTCATTGTCAATCCATAACTGTTTGTGGGACATTGCTGTGCGCAATTGGCTGTCGCGTTCGCCCACAAATATACAGTCAATTCACGCTTTGAGACGTCGAGAAAACGTAAAAAGCGCTATATCAAATGCAAGGATTATTATTATTATCTTAATAACTGATTGTCAGGAAACATTGAACAGCAGACCTGCCTGCTGCTTTCATTATAATTTTAAACACTGCTTCCCTGCTTTAATGCCCTTTCTATCAAGAATTGTCCCCATCGGTTCTATGTAATGTGGCTTCAATTTATTGCCACTAAGCAGGAGGAATATTTCTGTTGTAAACTTATATTTTCAACGAGCTACAAAATAATTCCTATCTTGAGCCATTGTCGGAAACAGCTGGAATAGTTATTGCCAGAATGGCTTAAACTATCCAGGAACAATCTGCCAGTAACCATTCCTCTGTCACCAGAATTAATCGTGGAAAGAAGCTGAGCTGGAAGAAAATCCTGTCAGTTGTTTAACTGGAGGCATGTTGAACCATATTCCCATTGTGTTTATCTCACATTAAACTGAAAGAAGAAATGTTCTGCAATGGTACAGATGTGTACAATTGGCCTCATTATTGCAAGATGAACTTAATGGGGAATTTCCAAGGGAATTCATTGTTTTTGGTCAGCCAGGTGTCTGTCACATTTGGAAACCCATCACCATCGTTAGTAGTATCCAAACCAAACAGAATTTCATACATCCCCCCTACATATGGAAATTCCTGAGATATTTATTGGAATAGAGAGTGTACTCTCCTGGAGGGATGCATCCTGTTACCTCATACGAAAGTATGAGGCGCAGGTTAGCAAGAGCAAAGGCTTTGGGACCCCAGAGGCTTGGGGTACTGCTGGAGTCTAACCAGCTAAAACCAAATAGCTTACCATTGATATCACTGTCAGGCAAGTTTTCCCAGCTAGGACCACACAACCCATTAGGGCTTTGGCTTGCAGGGCTAACAGGAGTTGAGTGGGATGACTCCCTGCCCCCAGTGACTGGTCGGCCCTTCAAGGTCCTGCTGATGTACCAGACTGTGCTGTCATCAGCTGTGCCCTGAATACAGGGTATTCACAAAGTCCTTTATTTTCTAACAATGAATTTTCATTTTGTGTTGCAGATGAGCCGAGTGAAACACTCTCTGATACCAGTAGCTTCCTTGTCACTCCATCCATGGAACATGGCGACGGATCAATATTTGCCATGAAAATGATGGCGGTCACAGCGATCCTCGCAACATCGAAATACAGTTAAACACTCGCACTGAATACTATGAATGCTTCCAAATACAATTATCATCATTCTCCCACGTGTTTCAGTTGTTGGTCAGTGCACTGCAGAAAAAACTATGGGTCTTTGTGAGCACATTGTACCGTGGCCCCTCGTGGGTCAGGAACCAGACTACTGAGCGCGCCACAGACGGGGGTGGGATGTGATGTGGGAAGTAACCCGACGTTCCGGGGTGTGTAGTGACATATCTTGCGGGAAAAGGCGGCAAAAGCTGCCAAATGTCGCGCGACAACTTCCCGCCTAGCAGTCGGGAAGCGCTGAGGAAAAAGAGGGGTGGCTGTTGGGACCACCGCCCACTGCCTCCGTTCGGAGGGCTCGGGCCTCCTGTTCATCCCTCGCCCCCACCCCTCCACCGAGTGGGGGTGGGGGGGGGTGGTCGTGCTTTCATCCACTACGCGTCCCGAAACTCTGGAACTCTCACCATCAATCCCTCCGCCTTAGCACCCAACCCCCACCTCCCCGCCCCACTCCCCGCCCCACTCCCCGCCCCACCACACGTTCAAGTCCCTGCCTAACGACCTTCCTTTTTGATGGTACTCAGGGTCACCTCCCCCATCACCTCCCATTCCGCACCCCCCACCTCAACCCCCCCCCCCACCCCCCACCCTCCCACCTTCCACCCCCCCGCCCCCCACCCCCCACCCTCCCACCTTCCACCCCCCCCACCACCCCCCACCCTCCCACCTTCCACCCCCCGCCCCCCCCTCCCCCTGGCTCGGGGGTCAGATCAGACTCCCCCAACTCCGCCAAGCGCTCCGGGACGCGGAGGCCGCGAGAGACATTTGTTGTTGTTGTTGTTGTTGACGTGCAGAGAGCAAGAGGGTGACTGCTGTGACGTCACTACCCCCCCGAGTGGAGTCTGTGACGTCACCCCCCCCCGGGAGGGAGTGCAGTCTGTGACGTCACCCCCCTCCCCGGGGAGGGAGTGCAGTCTGTGACGTCATTCCCCCCGGGGAGGGAGTGCAGTCTGTGACATCATCCCCCCCCCACCCCGGGAGGGAGTCCAGGCTGTGCCGGAGCTGCCGAGGAGCTGAGGCTGTTGGTGCTGACAGTAAGTGCTGTGTGTTCGGGCTGCTCGCCGTGGTCCTCGGTAGTATAGTGGTTAGTATCCCCGCCTGTCACGCGGGAGACCGGGGTTCAATTCCCCGCCGGGGAGACCTGACAACTTTTTTTTTGGATTTTTTTTTTCTCAATTACAATCTTATCTATTTTCGGTTGTTTTTTTGTTGCTCCTCCAAGCAATAAGTCCATACGTTTAAAAAAAATTACAAAAATTTACAATACACATATGTGTGTGTGTGCGTGTGTATTGCTGATGCACAAGAGCAACTCGAGCAGTTTTTTTTGATTGCAATAAAAATAAACACCACCACCACCACCACCAGCAGCAGCACTAATTGTTCTGCAATTAATCCATTTTTAAAAAAAATAGATGTTAATAATAATAATACACGCGTTTTGCTCGTACACAAGAGCAACTCCAGGCGTTTTTTGTTGTTGTCGATGCAATCAAATACCACCAACAGAACTAATTGTGCAAAGAAACCTGGGCTGTAAGGAAATTATTATTATTATTATTATTATTATTATTATTATTATTATTATTATTATCTTGTGTTTGACAGGTTGAACCACATTTCCATTGAATGTCTGTCTCGTCAGGTTGAAGATTGCGAGAAGAACAGCTGCAATTGTACAGATGTGCAAAGAGCAAAGAGATTACAAACAAAAACAACTCTCTTCTGTATATATTTTTTTGCAATGCAATGGGTCAGTGGCTAAAAATACTGCTCTGTGCCTGAGCATTTTGACGAGCGTGTTGGAAATAGTTTGAATTGTTGCTGTGTGAGCTGGGGGGGACCATTTGTTAAACACACACAAATATCAAATGATGGTGAGTTAGTTTTAAACTGATCACAATGTTTTTTAACACTCAGAGCTTACTTGAACGAAGAAAGTTGCATAAAATACGATTGCAACACTAAACATCCATCAAAAGATGATTGGAATTGGTTTTTTTTAAAAAAACCTCCGATTATTTTAAACCCAAAGCAGTTTTCTTATAACAAGTGCCAGATTTATAAACTGTGTCCCCCACAAAATTGTGAACCTTGGAGACTGTAAACTTAACCTTTGGAGTAAAGAGAGATCAGGCAACAGACTGTAACACACTGGACCGAAAGATAAACTACATTTTTATGTTACAATGAAGTCAATCTTTGAGAGTTTGGTGGCTGTTTGGGATCTGCTTCTCTTGTTTGAATTCACACACTATCTGTCTTTGCTTTTGGTTTCCAACTTGACTTTGTTGCAGAAGAGTCTTCACAATGTTCACATGCACCAATGTCACCTGTCAATGAGAAACTATCAATGAGAAACGTGGGGGAAAGACTGAGGTCCTTAATGCAGATCACAACCCCTGTCGAAAAGACAAATTAAGAAATATAATTCCTTGTTAAATCAAGTCGAACTTGGATGTTAAAGGCATAGAGATTGTGAATTGAAGATTGTGGGAAGCAGGAAGCTGCAGCATTTCTGGGAATGAATGAATGAATGAATGAGTTGAACCAGGAATGGGTGAGAGAAGTCTTGAATTCAAATAGGTCTGAGTCTCGCATCAACCTTTTGTAATGGGTAGAAACAAATTATTGTCATTATTATTACTTTGTCTTGTGTTTCATGGGCTTTGTTTTCCCCCCTAAATTTCGAATTAATAGTATAGAAATATTACATAGCATTGAACTATTGTATATCGACATTTGAAGAGCTTCTGAATAATTGATCTGTTGAAAATAGAATACAGTACCAACATTAAACACAAATATTGTTTGAATTCAAAGTCTCTTTCTGTTATTTAGGAATTGTTTTCCTCCGCTGAAATGTAATTCCATTCCTCAGAGGGTCAGGTGTTAAGTAGCCCGAATATAAAATCAACAAAGTATGTTGTCAGTGCACTCCAGGCAACGTGCTGTGTTTGCACAATTCTCCACTCCTCGTGAAGGTGAAATACTGTATTAATCGTTTGTTTGTTTTAGGTCAACATTTGTTCTATCCATCAGTGGGGGAAAACATACCCTTGGATTCACTGCACAGTTTGCATAACGATTTTATTCCAGTAATCTACTCCAGAAGTGCATTATATAACAAAACAGCAGCTTCATTCTGCTGGCTCTACACTTCACTCTGAAACGTATCCTTTGTCAGACTGGATATTAATTTCATGGCCTGTTAATAAGTGTTAATTTTGTACAATTAATCGTCTGATCCCAGTGAACAAAGCTCGCATTCAGCCACTGGGGAGTTGAGCTGTTCTGGAAATGCTGCGAGCAATGGTGTGGTTTTTTTTTGCTCAGTGAAGGTCGCCTCATGTTGTCCAAGGCTTGTTGGGTTATCAGTGAATGACATGCAGTGTGCGAGGCCAGAGACAGGTCGTTTCTGGAATGAAACTCGCGGGTGCATAAGCAACAGGAACACAAATAAATAAAAAAAGAAGTGAAACTCTTCATCCACCTTTACCCACTTGGCTCAAAAGCAGTTGTTTTAATGTAAATGTAACACGATTCAGAGAGACACCAGGAGAGGGCGGTTGGTGCCACTACACCTTTTGAATGGCTGGACCACAATAATACACATCGCCAGATGTTTATTCTTTCCAGAAAACAAGAGGCAACAACTGATCGATTTTCAATGCACTCTCCTTCCAATGCAAAATTGAAACCGATCTCTTTTTTAATGTAATTGTACAAATTGCCGACCGAGTCCACGGGAATGAATGAGTTGGGACCAGGAATGTGTGAGATGAAGTCTTGATGAATTCAGTAGCCCCAACTCTCACGCATTTGGGGGTAGGTTTCAACCTGGTTGCAACGGGTAGAAAAGCAAATTGATCAGAAGGAAAGAGATGGTTTAATTTCCGATCACCGTAATTGTGGATTGACTTCAGGACACAACAGAAAGAATAGTCTTTCCCCCAAGTTTTCCCTTAAAAGTGCATAAATATTATATAGCATTGAACTCCCATCACCGTGCAATTTAAAACAACCATTTTCTCTGATCGATTTCTTTCTGCCCTCTCTGTGCGTCTCCCTTTCTCTCTCTCTCTCTCTTTTTGCAATTTTATTTATTGCACTTTTTTTAAAAAAATCTCTCTCTCTCTGGGTTTCTCTCTCTCTCTCTCACACACTCTGTCACTACAACGAGAGAGAGAGAGCGAGTTGTTTGCACAGTCGTTTCATTCATTCCTTTCCGATCGCTCCCGAGTGTAGCTGATCAACCCCAAAAGGAGGCACATCCCAACCTCTGCACAGACAGAGAGGGAGGGAGAGGGGAGAGAGGAGAGAGGAGGAGACGGGAGAAGGGAGGGAGGGGGGAGAGAAGAGGGAGGGGGAGAGGGAGAGGGGGAGAGAGGGAGAGGGGGAGAGAGCGGAGAGAAGGGAGGGAAGGGGAGACGGGAGGGAGGAGGGAGGGGGGAGAGAAGAGGGAAGGGAGAGGGGAGAGGGGGGAGAGGGGAGAAGGGGGGAGAGGGGAGAAGGGAGGGAGAGGGGAGAGGGGAGGGAGGGGGAGACGGGAGAGAGGAGGGAGAGAAGAGGGAGGGGGAGAGAGGAGAGGGGGGGAGAGAGGAGAGGGGGGGGAGAGAGGAGAGAGAGGAGGGGGGGGAGAGAGGAGAGAGAGGAGAGGGGGGAGAGAGGAAGGAGGGGGGGAGAGGGGGAGGCAGAGAGAGGAGGGAGGGAGGGAGGGGGAGAGGAGAGAGGAGAGAAGAGGGAGGGGGAGAGGGGAGAGAGAGGAGAGGGGGGGGAGAGAGGAGGAGAGTTCACATCCACATCTGCTTGTGAAGCCCTCCGGGACCCCCTCTGACCGTTTGCAGGGCCGAGGGGATGGGCGCGGGGTATCGGGAGGAGGAGGCGGCGGCGGCACCCACCCCGGGACCAGGGCAGACCTGGCCCTCCCGGTCCGGCCCGGCCCGAGCTGCCGGGGGGGGCGGCTTCCCGGCCGGGATGGCTCTGCCGGGACTGGGCGCCCGCGGCTTCTCCCCGCGCAGGGGAGCGCCCTGCGGCCGCCCGGTGGCCGGCGGGAGGCGGCTGCGGGGTTGGCTGGTGGCCGCCGGGCTGCTGGCGTACCTGTGCTGCGTCCTGCTGCAGGGCCGGGCGCTGGGGTCCCGGGGGGCGGGGGCGAGCCCGGAGCCCGCGGGGGGGAGGCCGGCCCCGGGGGAGCAGGAGGGCCCCCCTCCCGGCCGCAGCCCCGCCCTCCAGCCCAACGTGGTGTACATCACCCTGAGGTCCCGGCGCGGACAACCCGCCCGCCTCAGGGCCACCGTCAGACCGAAGGTCAGGAAGAAACGCGCTCCGCCCGACGGCGGCGGCGACGACGACGACGACGCCGCCTTTCCGCACCGTCTGCAGCCGCGTGAGCCCTCCCGGCACCCGGCGGCGGCGGCGGGGCGGGGGGGGGCCGGCGGCGGGGGGCAGCCCGGGCGGGGCCGGGGCGGGGCGGCCCGGGAGCGGCGGAGCGGCCTCAGGATGTACAGCCGGAGCGCCCCGCCCTGGCTCAGCCCCGCAGACATCGCCCACATGCGCCTCCTGGCCGAGTCCGGCATCGCCCGCGTCCGCACCGGGTCCCGACCGCAGCACCGGCCCCTGGCGCTGTTTGAAGGCGGCCCGGGAGCGGCCCGGGGCCGGGGAGGGGGAGCGGCCCGGGGCCGGGGAGGGGGAGCGGCCCGGGGCCGGGGAGGGGGAGCGGCCCGGGGCCCGGGAGGGGGAGGCGGGACGGCGGACCCCCAGCGCTGCGGACTGATCAGGACACCCGCCGACATCAGCGAAGTGTTCGCCTTCCACCTGGACCGCATCCTGGGGCTGAACCGCACTCTGCCCACAGTGGCCAGAACCATCGCCTTCATCAGAGGTCAGAGCCACTCACTCACTCACACTGACACTCACTCACACACACACTCTCACTCACTCACTCACACACTCACACTGACACTCACTCACACACACACTCTCACTCACTCACACACACACTCACTCACACATACACTAACACTCACTCACACACACACACATTGCTCCCCACCCGCCATCCCCCACATACACACACACTCACTCACACACACTCTCACACACTCACTCACACACCCCCCCCCCCACACACACACACTAACACTCATTGCTCCCCCCTCCCACAAACACACACACTCACACACACACTACTCTGCCCCCCCCCACACACACACACACACACTCACACCCCCCTACACACACACATGCTGTGTTTAATCAAACAGGTGGTTACACAGCGAATGTGGGCACTACCATCAAATGGAAGGACCGTTATTATACTTCTTAACACTGCTTCCACGCGCAAATCTGGCTTGCAGTGCAAATGCACAGTCACTACACTTCACAGTAATACTGTACCGAAGCGCTCCGGGTTTATGCCACGCCGTTTGAATGGCGCGATATAAATGCAAGTTGTTGTTGTTGTACTGTATATTCTGTGATGCCCTTTGATATGTCTCCACCTGACAAGGCGCTATGTCAAATGCAAAGATTATTAGTATTATTATCGTATGATATTCTGCGCTATTTTATTTATTGCACTTTTCGAAAAGAAGGTTGGTTTGGGAAGGTTTTCAATGATGCGATGATAATAATTTTTTAAAACTTTTTTTTAACACGATACTGAAGACAGAAATTTAACATTTAATTGAGGAATAAAAGGTATCATTAGAAGTTACAGGTGGAGTCCTGCAGCTCAGTGGTTAGAGCACTCGCTTTGCAAGCGAGAGACCTGAGTTCAATTCCCGGCAGAGGGTGAAACCTTGGGCAAGTTTCCTTACTCCACACACCTAATAATAATCCCTCCAAAAACCAAAAACAATAATAAATTGGTCATTTTCAATCTACGACTGTTTGTGGGACATTGCTGTGCGCAATTGGCTGCCGCGTTCGCCCACAAATATACAGTCAATTCACTTTACAGTGTGTTCTGTGAAGCGCTTTGGGACGTCCTCCCGACGTGAAAAGCGCTATATCAAATGCAAGGATTATTATTATTATTATTAAGTTTGCATTAGTGAGTTAAGTGGAAAGCCCCAGGAAGCTGTGGCTGTGGGCTTGGATGTAGGAGGGAAGCAATGGGTGGACAGACTTACTTTGTAAAACCTGCACTCAGATAATTCATTGGAATAGATTGTCATTTGGTGCAGTTAAGGTAAGCTGTCTGGAAGCAATCAAAAAATAAAATGTACATTTTTCATCATTCAACAGAAGAGAGGGGTGTAGAGTTTGTACCAAGTTAGGATGGGGGTAAAATAGTTCTATGATTCTCAAATTTGAAACAAAATGTTGGGTCTGTGTAACTTACTGACTTGTTTCTCCTTTTCTGCCCATTTTTTAAATTATTATGTTAAATAGGACAGTAATAAGAATTTTTAAGCAAACTCGGAATGAAGTTTGTAAGTTCACAGAAGAGATCCGGCCATTTGATCTCATTCTTCCAGAATACCCACCCTACTTTCTTTCAATTGGGCCATCGGTTCGTAATGAGTTCAGTGTTCTAACCTCACTATCCCCCTGGTAAAACATTTCAGCTTTTTAATGTTTGATAGTTATTTTGTTTGCTGGCCAGTTTCAGTCAAAGCATTTAACTTAAATTCATCCATATCCCAATTCACAATGAAGTCCTCAGGAGAACGTTCCCCTGTTTTGTTTGATAAGTAGGATGAAGAGGAAAAGAAAAAGCATCTTGAGGGTCTTGAGGCGTGCCTTGAAGGAGGCAAGGGAGGGAGAGATATTACACCTTATCATGTCGTTGAGGCATCTCAAAGCGCTTCACAGAATGTACTGTAAAGTGTAGCGATGATATGTTTTATGGGTGAAAGGTGGCCGCGAATTGCGCACAGCAGGTTGCAATATGTTTATAAAAGAAGCTCATTAGTTCTTTCCCCTCTCCCTCCCTTTGATCCCACTGGGTCCTCCCAACAATAGACCAATTAACCTTTTGGGCAAATATTTTGGTTCAGCACCAATCGCTTTGTTTGCACGTCAACATTTCGAAGGGCTTTTTGTTGCAGAGCAAAACTAAACCTCTGTCCTGTAGACAGGAAAGTATTCCAAAATAAACATGAAGTTGTTGATGTTACAAAGATTGAACAACCGCATTTAATTTGATGCAAACAAGGCTTAGCTGTTGTGATTTAAATCAGATTGTCGTTAACATAAGAAAACAGGAACAGAAGGGGTGAATTCGTACTGTATCACGCTAGCACTGGCAGTTCGCTTTTGGAACTACTTCTCAAGGAACGTGCTGTGAAATTAGTTGTAATTGTGTGATAACTATAACAACTACACAACAAAGTAATTATCCACTGCAGCTTTATCCTGCAATGTCCGGACTCGAAAGTGAAATTCTAACATTTAGCAGAAACACACAACTGCTTTGCCACCAAAGATAATCTATATTGGTAACTCTATTTGAAATTAGTGATAAAAATACAAATTTTAAAATATAGATCTTAACACACTGGTACACAGTAGTGTGAGAACAGCCTACACAGTTAGGGGTTAGTGATTCAAAAACAATATACTACTCATCTTGCATGTTACGCCTGACATAAGATCACTTGCTTGTTTGACACATTCTTGTTTTAAATAGCCTAAATCACTTAGAGCTGAATTACTCATAAACCAGTGCCTTTCAAAGCACTTTGTGTAATGCATTCAGAACAACCTCAGAGTAAGTACCCGCAGATGAAAACTGGAGTCAATGAATCTGAAACAGAGTCTTGAGAGATAGATCAATACAATGTTAAGAAAATAGTCGAAGTCTAGACTTAGATGGAATTTCTCTCTGCTGATGGTTTCTTAAGACAGCTCTATTTTGAGAAAACATAGGGTCTAATTTACAGCATTCCCTGATGGGATTCCTTAATAAGCAAATCTGTTAGAATCCCATTGACCCATGGGATCCCCATGCCAGAAGCAGTTTGCATGGTTTGATATGTCATCCGTCAGGTCACCAGAAGGAGTACCACGTCTCAGTTTAATTATCAAGAAGTCCCATGAAGAAATACAGCACAATAGATCCAATGGTGTGCCGAACCTGTGCTTGGTTTTGTACTTTGTACAGTATCAGAGAAACCTGATAACATTTCTTCTCTTTCAAAGGTGGCCTCCCCCGTCCTGTCGTTCTCTGGGATGCCTCCTTGCCGATGACTGATAATGTCACCCATTCTACGGTTAGGTTGAATTGGAAGTCTTACCAGGAATCACTGAAACAGAAGTGCTGGGTCCATGGTAAAGTTCCCAAATCAGATTGGAGTTGTTCAGAGATTCATCACCATGAATGGTGCAAGCTCGCACTCTTTGACTTCCTCCTGCAGGTAAGAACTGGCTTGAAAGGTTTTATGCATTTTGAAATTCACCCAATGTCAGTTATCCAATTAGAAGAAATTCCTGCTTGATAAAGAAACAAAAAGAAAAAACTGAGTGCTGGAAATTTGAGGTAAGAATGAAAAATGCTGGATACACACAGGGTGTCAAGCAGGTTCTGAAAGAAACAGATGGGTTAACCATTACTGAAATATTTCTGTTTCTTTTGGGTTTTTGATGTAATTGCTTTCTGATCTTCTTTCTTTTGCAATGCAATCGTGAACATTTAGATTTATTTGGTGAGCTTTTGCGTTCATCAAACTGTGTCAGGTTGACTCAGTCATTTCAAACTTCACTCAGTGAAATACTCTTTGCTCTGGGGCAGAAGATTGTGGGTTGAAATACTGTATCAGGATGTTTGAGTTCGCAGTCGAGGCTGACAGTGCAATGAGATGCATTGTTGGAGATACTGTCTTTCTTCTGAGACATTAAACGGAGTGCTATCTGCTTGTTGAGTATCAAGTTCAAAATCTCTAGACAATGCCAACAATTTACATTTACGTTATAAATTATATTCATCATTACATTTCATGTAGTGGATTTCATGTAGGGAGGGCATTTCAAAATGTTTGAAAATGAAAAGATTATATTTGGGGGAAAAAAGGTCATATTTAATGGTCAAATAGTACCATTAACAATCTTAATGTCCATTAAGACAAATGGAACCTAAGTTTAGCGTTTCATCTGAAAGACAGTACTTCTGTCTTCTAGTCTGCAAACTAAATTCCAAACACAGGGCTAAATCCACAACTTTACAATTCAGGCAAAGGACATGCGACCACAGAATCAAGCTGGCGTCCAGCACAAAAAAGAAAACAGGATATACATTTTACCGTGCATCGCTTAAAACAATTAAATTCATACATAATTCCTAACTTGCTTACGATGCAACAATTCATATCATAACATGTGATGCAATATTGTAGTAAAGTGATCTATTGCAGTTGAGAAACAATGGATGTTGCCTGTTCAGGGACATTCAAAGTGGAAAATCTGTTTAAAAAGTTTTATTGATAAATGCTTCCTGCCCCGCAAACATCCTCTCTCTTTTCCTCACATCCACCGGACATAAATCAAAGCTGTCCTCTTCTGAAAAGGACAACAGTATTCTCCATCCTTTCCAAAAAGTAAATCTGTCAAAGTGTAGAAAGTAAAGTGAAATGAAAATACAACAACAAATTGCATTTATATAACGCCTTTCACGTTGAGATGTAAACGTACCAAAATGGTGACTTTGCTTGGGAGTTATATTATTTATTCAGTTAAGTGGAGCTAACCAGATAGGTAAAAGATTATTTGGTGAATGAACATAAATTTAATTTGGATTCATTTAAAATATTTTTTTGGCTAAGCGTTTTATGATGTGGAACACGATTTCTGCATGTTACTACTAAAGCTCAAGTTTATTACATCATTTAAAAAGAAATGAGGTAGTCATGTGAAGAAGAATTTTTAAAAGAGCTTTGGGGGAAGAGCACAGCATAGGACAGATAGCTCCAGTGGGGAGAGAGCACGGACATGGAGATGATGGGCTAAATGGCCTCCTTGTGTTCCATAAATATTCGCTGATTTTCACATTAATGAAACGTGAAACAAACCATAGAAAGTCTGAAAATGTAGATTAAAACTATGTATCTGGATTACCCTGTGATATCTATTTGACAATCATTCCTCGCTGGATCACGTCTTCTAAAACTGGTAAGCTTCCCGGCCTGTGTAATCTTCTCAACGGTCTATGGTATATTAAGATCATGGGGTCATACAGGGGTAACCCTAACTTTACTGTACAATAATCCAAAACAAAATAAACCTCAAAGATACTTTACTGTACAATAATCCAAAACAAATATTTGAGGTTTCCAGTTGATTTGATGGTGGATTCAATTATAAGGGGACAGCTGGGACAGTGAAGAATTTATTAAATATATATCTGTAATGGCCAGTTATGATAATCCTTGCATTTGATACAGCCCCTTATCACAAATTTGAGATGTCTTAAACCGCTTCATAGTAAAGTGGATTGACTAAAGAGCATACCGCTACTGTAAAGTGGATTGACTAAAGAGAATACTATCACATCATGCTAATTGAGTTTAAAATCTTTAAACAGTTTGCCTTTTATTTTTGTGAATTCAGTACGAAGTTACACACTTGCATATATTCTAACATCAAGAGGAAAAATACAACATGTGATGTTCTAATTACCATCTGTGATAATTAGCACAAAACATTACCTATTTCCTCCTTCCCAATGTGTTAATATTCATCTATTATAGAAGTGTATGTTTTTTTTAGAAAGCTTGGGGTATCTGATTGCAGTTAGATGATCCACTGGTTGTCCTGTAAATCTCAAATCCCACCTCAGAACTGGTGAGATTCTTGCTCTGTTGAGCTTCTAAAGACCTTGTTACCAATGGCTAAGAGTTTTATTTTATTAAATTGCACAGTACCTGTCAGCATTAACTTTGAGTTGACATTCAAAGGTGAAGAGGCATCTCCTTACATAAATTTTATTTGAGCAGTAAGAGTGCCATAAAAGCTTGGCATGTCAGGATGATTTTTAGGAAAAAGTAGACTGGTAATAATTATGTTTAATATCTAGGTATTTGTGAGTCCAATGTAGATTATTGACATCTTCCTTATTGAGAATTATTTGACCAATGCCATATTGGCACATTTAAAATGAACACACCTATGTACCCATAGACCTGTAATACAGTTTTTGATTTTATCATCTCACTGTGATATATGTATAGTTTACATTAAAAACGTAAATTTGAGAAAAAANCAAGTATTTTTGCAATAGATAGCTAAAGTTAAAGGAAGTTTTTCTCTTGCCTTTTCAGATCTATAATCGCCTGGACAGAAACTGCTGTGGGTTCCGACCCCGCAAGGAAGATTTTTGCGTGCAAACTGGCTTGAAATTGAAATGTGACAATCAGGATAGCATTGACTTGGCTCATATTATTCAAAGAGCACAAGATCGAAGGCACTTAGTCTTCATAGACAATAAAGCCTACTTTGACAGAAGTGAAGACAATCTTAATTTTAAAGTATTAGAAGGAATAACTGAGTGAGTATAGAATTTGAAATGTAAAGTTAAAATGAAGGTGTCAGTTTGTAGCACTCTTATTTCTGAGTCACAAGGTTGTGGGCTCAAGCCCTGTGTCAGGACTTTGAGCTCAGAGTCCAGTGCAGTATTGGGAAATCGCTCCATTGTCAGAGGCGCTATCCTTCAGGATGTTAAACTGAGGTCCAATCTGCCTGTTCAGGTGGACGTTAAAGATCCCATGGCACAATTTGGAAGAGAAGCGTCCGGGCCAAGAATCCTCCAGATAAAATAGTTGTGGCTATGCTCATGGTGATGTTCAAATTGGCTTATGTGATTGGCTACAAATTCAAGGCCAATATATTCAACATTCAGTTTCCACCCGCAGCTCTGTTGACCAGGCAGAATCGTCAAGTGCTTTGGGATGTCCTCTGATGTGATGTGAACACATGTAAATCGTATTGGAAGCTTCAATGAGATAATAAGATGCTATATCACTAGTTTGTTCATTTCCACATTTGCCCTACTTTGCCTATTATTTTCAGATGGTTCAGAAGCCTATAGGACCGGGGGCACCCCCCTCACTCCCCCACTCCGAGTTAGAATTCAGATTGAAATGAGGACGAAAATAACAACAAGAAGTTGCGTTTATATAGCACCTTTCACATTGGGAGCACATCCCACAGCACTGGACAGTTGAGGGTTTGCATCCGAGCCGTGTGCAGTTGGATTTTGGCGGTGTGGGGGCCAAGGGGGATGTGGGAGGGGAAAGATGACTGAAGACATGGTCAAAGAGGAAGGTCTTGAGATGGATCTTGATGGAGGTAAAGGAAGGGGAGAGGTGAAGGGACTCCAGGATGGACTTTCAGGGAGTGGGTGCAGAAAAACTGAAGGCCCGAATGCCAATGTTGGGGGGGGCATAATGGGGACATGAAGCATGCTGCTGTCTGCCAAGCGGAGGGAACGGGTGGGTTGGTAGGGTTTAAGAACTTCACAGAAGTAGGGCAGGGCAAAACTGTGGAGGGCTTTGAGGATGAGGATCTTGAATTCAATGAGAAATAGAATGACGCTGTAATCAGAGGACGATGGCAGAATGAGATTTCAGGCAGAAAGAGATCAAATGGGTTCATCCTGACCCTCCCTTTTGAATTTTTAACCCTATTAATTACAATTGAATTTAAAACAAACTTTTAATCATAAATCTTTTGAGATTATCATATTCCTGGAGAGTTTTAATGTTATTTTGAGCCAACAAGACTGCCTATTCTTTACTAATGTTAAAAATTAACATTATGTCTGGTGGCTTCAGACAGATTTCAAGAATTCTGTCCATTGGGCCCTGGTGAGTGTTTCCATTTCAAGCAGCATTTTATGATTTATAAACCACATGTGACATTGGGAAATTAGGCTCAGCAGCTGAACAATCAAACTTATTACACTTCTGGAAACAGACAAGGCTCCATTGAACATACTGATAGGTTTAATGTTGGAATATGGTACAGAGGATCAATGGAAGCATGTAAGTGTTTTAATGAGCTTCATTCAACCATATTGCTTGCTGGAATGTTTATTGTGGCCATAATTATATTATATAAGGGAAACATTTTTTGATATTTGAAGCTTCTGTCATTTGAAGCTTACAAAACTTGAATTTCTTACTGAATTGCACTTTTTGATATACATTTGTGAATGTAACCAGATGGGATTGTATTGGAATAAGGAATGTTTTATACATCGCCTAAAAGGCAAGCATAGCTATAATCTATGTAGGTTTCCATGTGGAAAGAAGTTTGGAAAGCTGCTGAAAGAAAAAATAGAGAAGGAAGTTATTGAGAGCAATCATAGGTTCATGGAGGGGTGGGGTAGGGGGGGATTGGGGACAATGAGAGAGGGTGAAGAAGGGGGAATGTTCATTCACTCTTGGATCTGAATTAAAATTGTATTTATTACAATAATACTGTTTATGGATAAAAAAAGTCAGTCTGTGCCAAGAAATCTGTCCTTGTGGACCAGAAATGCTACATTTTGGAATGTGTTAGTCTGGATGTTAAAAATAAAATATCCCACAGAGTACCGCGAAATCAGCAGATTAGCAGATGAGCTACAAGTAACATACAACTCACAAGAAATGTGGATGGAGCTGACATTTATAGATTGTCCACAAAAGTTAAGATAAGCTCCAGCTACCAATAACCTTAATGGAACATGAAACTTGCTCAAAGCGTTGCTTTGGGAAAAGGGTGGAAACAGCAATGCAATGGCCAATGCAACTTGAAGCAGTATTTGAGCCCTGCTGGATGTGAGATACAGGAACCAGGGTTAACAATTGATCCAGGAACATAGTCCCTACAGATGCAGTTGCAGAAACCTTTTAGTAAATTGGATGTTATTTTTGCATAAACCATTTATTATCAGTGTTAAGAAAAGTATTAACCAATTTATGGACTTTGCTGGCACAAATTACTTTCACATTGTGACATATAAATAATAAATAAATAATCCTTGCATTTGATATCGTGTCTTACCAGGTTATTGAGACATCTCAAAACTTTTCACAAGATATATTATAGAGTGTAGTGACTGTGTATTTTGTGGGTGAAATGCAGCAGCCAGTGTCCCACAAACACATGGAGTGAGTGACAAATTTCATTTGGGGGTTTGCCAGGACATTGGGAGAAACTCTCTTCTCTTTTTGAATAGCGTCATCGGATTGTTAATATCCACTGAACAGGCAGACGGGATCTTCATTTAACATCTCATCTGAAGGACAGCACCTCCAACAATGCATGACATCCCCAGCATTGCATTGGAGTGTCACCTTAACTGTGTGATTCCAAGTCCCCATGTGGGGCTTGAACAACTTTCTGACTCAGAGGCGAGAGCGCTACCACATAACTACCACTGCACTAAACTGACACACATATTGAGTGTAGTGAGTAATTCCAGTATAGTTCTTCAAAAAGTTTGTAAAAGATAATATAATGGATTTTATCTTTGTTAATCTTATAGATTCCCAGAATCTGCAATATCGGTCCTGAAGAATGGACATCTCCGCGAGAGACTTCTTCAGTCTTTGTTTCTTGACGAGCTGTTTTGGGAAAGTCAGGGAGGCCGGAAAGGAATCGAAAAGCTGATTGACGTGATCGAAAGAAGAGCAACAATTTTTCTTACCTATATAAACGCACGTGGATTCAAGGTGCTACGTATGAACGAATGACTGTTTGCACTATTGATCAATATCCTTCTAAAGGACCAGTGGTTGACAAAATAAGCAAAATTGCTCAGATGCAAGATTAAACCACATGACTGATAGTTTTTAAAAAAATATTATCTTTATTACATAGGGAGGTGGAATTATTCTCTGCTGTCAGCAATTTTTTTTACTGATTCCAACTACACACAATCTCCTGATGTGAGAAGAATTCCTCCCAAAACTTATACAATCATATTTATTTTCATCAAAGCATATTTGCTCTTAATGTAGATGACTTGGGACAAGTAAAGAACAATAAGAAATGTAGGTTTATACAATGCCTTTTACGTTGGGAGGATGTCTCAAAATGCTGGACAGTCCAGTGTTTGCACCCGAGCTGGTTTTTGGAGCTCAAGCTGTAGGTGGGGGCTGAGGAGGCTGGTGGTGGGGGTAGGGGGGAAGGTGGCCAACAATGACATTGATGATCAGATGATATTTTTATTTCCTAGTAATTAAGTCGTTCTGCTGGCTTGGTCAGTCTTAACATGTCTCAGGTAAAAGATAATAGATCAACAAGTATAGCAGTATAGTGTTATGCTATTCTCCCAAATACCATCATGATACCTCACCTTTGTTCTGATGTGAGTTTACTAGTTCTTGACTGTGTGATAGCAGAGAAATACCACATTGCAAAGTGGCAGGTGGTCATGTCAGGGTCGTTTCCCAGTCACTCTTCCTGCCTTACTTCCCAACAGTGAACTAGAGCAGGAGCAACAATAAAAATAGTAACAGTACAACATCGTGCAACTTCATCTGACAATTACCTCCCTCCAAGCAAAAAGAGGAAGCAGAGGGTTATAAAACAACATGGGGGAGGAGAAGGAAACTTGTAAACTGTGATCTAATATGTTCCAATAACAGTGCGTGGGCATGATGAAAGCTACAAACTGTATCCAAGGATTTATATTCTGGATTCTCAGGGCACAACGGTTTTATCATTTTGTGCTTTCATATCTGGCCCTCCAGCAGCAGACAAACTTTCAGCTATTCTAACCCTGTTCTCTGGAACTCTATTCTGGAGACCCTCCAACTCACTCCTCCCTCCCCTGTTTTAAGACGCATCTCGAAACGTATTCCTTTGACTGCAGTTTCGGTTGGTCTTTCCCCTCATGACCTTCAGCTCCCCCCTGAAATGGGTGCCCATCCAGCAATGTGAATGCACTTTGGGATGTCCTCCTGACGTGAAAGACGCTATATAAATGTAAATTGTATTGTCTTCTATACCTGTTAATATACACCACTGTGCACTTCCACTAATAGCAAATACATAAATCATTGTGCAGCATTTCCCTCATCAAGTTTTGCGTCAGTCTGCTCCAAGTCAAAAGAATTTTTCAACATGATAAATATGAAAGCCGATTTCCCGCACATTGTTTTCCTTCCCAACTCGCTTGAAAATCAGGAAAAAGCTGTTATCTTAACTGAAGTCACCACTTGAGTGAAACTTGCTGGGAGTGGACTGAGCGGAAGGCTATGTCAAAGCCACTCACTCCCTGTTGCAGAAATGTAGAATGTGTGAACCGCATTCTTTCAGAGAAAAGCTCATAGTGTCTGGCTGTCGATGTGCAACATAATTATGTAATGATCAAAAGTTACACTTGAAGCAAGTTCAGTGTTTTTCAACCTGGTTTTCTGATCCACATTCTATTTTCCCTGGCTAAAAACATAGTAGTAATATGATTAATATGAGGTAGAGTGAGGGCGAGGATCAATATTACACCTGTTGTTAATATTAAGAACAAGTTATAAGATCACATTTTAACCAGATTTTCTGCCCTCCTGGTGATGATTATCACAGCATATATCACAGCCCCTCTCCTAGAAATTACAATGTGATTCAATGAACCAATGTTCATGCTTTCTCTTCCGCTAGAGTTGTCTACTCTAAGCCCCTTTCTCTGTGCTTTCGCTGTGCTGTTTTACATTTGTACTCTTCAAATGTTTTAGTTATGTGCCGTTCTTGCATCATGCAATAAACTCAAGGCTGATTGCACTTCCTTATACGTTAACTCATTCTTTATCAGGACCTCAAGACTGCAGAAGTGGACTTGTTTGACCCTCAATTATTCTTTCTACAGCACATCTGTACCATGACCCACTCTGCCTTCTCCCACCTCTGCAACATCGTCTCACATCGCAGGCCGCCAAAACCCTCATACATGCATTCATAACATCGAGGCTTGGCAATGCAAAGTCCTTATTGTCGGCCTCCCCAACTCTTCCCTCCAAAGGCTGCAAATCATCCAAAACTCTGCCGAGCGTGTCCTCTCCCACACCAGGCTCCGTGATTCTATCACCCCCATCCTCGCCCGACTCCCCTGGCTTCCCATCACACAGAGGATACAGTTCAAGATCCTGGTCCTCACCTTCAAAGCCATCCATGGCTTTGCTCCTCCCACTACCTTTGTGACCTTCTAACCCCCTACCATCCTGCCCACTCCCTCCGCTCAGCGGGCTCTGGCCTGCTTCAAGTCCCCTGCCTCGCTCACTCCACTATTGGCGATTCTGCCAATATTCTGCCACTCTGCCTCCAGGCTCTTGAATTCCATCCTGCAGTCCCTCCATCTCGCCCCCTCCCTTGCCTCCTTTAAGACCCATCTCAAGTCCCTCCTCTTCGACCGTGCTTTCGATCACCCTGCCCCCCCCCCGCCCTCCACCCTCCCCAAATCCCGACCCCCAGCTCGGGTCCGAAACGCTGACTGTCCAGGGTCTTGGGACGTTCTCCCGGTGTGAAAGGTGCTACACAAATGTAATTTTGTTGTGTTTGTTGTAGTTCCTCCTAAATTCTCTTATAGATCAGTCACTATCTTATACTTGTGTCCCCTGGTTGTGGATTTCCCAACAAGTGGGGACAGACTATTTATACTCACATTTTCAAACTCTTTCATAATTTTCCTCTAACACCTTTGTTAGATTTCCTCTTAAATATCTCCTCCCAAGGGAAAAAGGCCTAACCTACCAATTTATCCTACAGCAGTATACTTACAGCCCTGATATCATCCTAGTAAACTCTGCTGTTCTTTTTCCACTGCTGCTATATCCTTCTTGTACTCTGGCAATCAGAATTTGACACAGTATTCCAAGTTGTTGAATTATAATAATAGTAATAATATCCTTACACTTGATGCAGTGCCTTCAGTGCTAGAGCGAATTAAGACTTAACTTCGAAGCTGATTTTCTGTACTTATTAAAATAACTTATAGGAAACTGGCTTCAACATTCAGCCTACATTTAAACATTTGCCAAATTCGGTATCCTCTGAAATGCTAAGTAAATAATGGAAATCTAGACTTGGGTGGAATTTCTATACTCAATTGGTACAGTGGAATTTCTGGCTCTATGACAATGACGTTAGTAGTAGATTACAAAGATCAGCCAACAAACTTCATGTCTGTCTTAATGCTCCAACATATTTCAAAATAAGCTTCCTCTAACCTTCAAAATGCCCACTGTGAGTCAAGAAGCAGAAGAAGCAAGGCAGATTGAAGATTATAAGATACATTTTTGGAGAAAAATAGTTTAGAAAAAGATTGGATAGGATAAATTAGGTAGTCAAAAAGACAAAGGAAACAAAAAATATATAAATGATGTGAAGTAGAGGCAAATAGGCTTAGTTACTTGTAAAAAAAATGGCTTAGCTTCATGTTTGGCACCTGTCGGTCAGCAGATTGTGGATTGAAGCCCCACCAAAGATCTTTGAACCTGTGGTCCAGACTGACATTCCAATGCACTTTTGGAGCTTTGGCTTACAGGGTCAGCAGCAAGGATTCTTTCCACTCTTTCTACTTAATCCTTCAAGGCAACAATCCCTCAAATAAAATTGGTCACTCACTTCATAGCTGTTTGTGGGATATTGCTGCGCCCAAATTGACTGCTGCATTCGCATACAAAATGCAAGGTCATTAGACATTCACAGTAAAATCCTGTGAAGCACTTCGAGACATCTTGATGACAAGATCTCATAAAACTTTTTGAAAAGAGAAGGCAGTTTCTTGTGGTGGTCTGGCCAATAATCCTGCACATAATTGTCATTCATTTCATGGGTGTTTGTGGGCACAATTGACTGCTAGGTGTGTCTTCAAATGCACTTGACAGCAATTAACTGTGAAGTGCTCAGTGACGATTCAATGTATAGGTGTTTTATCAAACGCAATGATTATTATTGACTTGTTTACAGCCTTCAGGGTTACACACCACTCTTATTTTGAGCATGTTCGACATCACTGGACACCAGCGTTTTGTTCTGAGGGAAAGTTTAAAGCTAGCTATTTACTTAATTTACTAGCTATTTACTTAAATTGGTTGACATTAGAGCAGACGGATGGAGTACAGACACAAACACATAATCTGGCTCACATGGAGTCCATTTTGGCATGGCTGTAAATACCAGCTTCATGTGTGCTTTTTGGAAGGACGATTTTTGTTTAGGGAAATCATACAACTCACAATGCAAAACCAAGCTGATTTCTCACATGCAAAGGACAGTGAGAAACCTTCATCTCAATATAATATTTTTGTGACTTATATTTCAATTGAGCATTTCACCCAGCTTTTTATTCTCAGGACTTACAAAACTCTTATAAGGCCTTGAGAGATATGTGCCATGAAGGAGAATGATGTCAGTACAGAGAATATTGGCATGCCCAGTGCTTGTTTTTCATTATTGCCAAGATTTCAGTTTGAGATGCAGGGAGCAATAGAACAACCTACACCAACCTACACTTTGTGCTTCTTACCATTAAAACCCAATGTCTAGACAGTTTCTTAGTAACAGAAATTTATATAAAATATACATATAAAGATTTGTATAAATGTTTCCACTTTTGAGTGAGTCCAAAAAGAGAGGCACAAACATAAGAGTGACAGAGGCAGATCTGAAAGGCAGTTTGGGAGGAGCATCTTTCTGCATAGGGTGAGGAGAATGTGGAGCTGAGACAGTTCGGTCATCCTTATATATACACCCACGATCTGGCTAGCTCTCCTTCGCAGAGTGTACTGGGTGGCCTCTGTGTTCAATCCTCACTAATGAATGCAAGTCCCTATAACTAGGTGTAACTTGACCAATGAGTTCTTCCATGACGACAGGTACTTCCAATCGCTATTTAAATTAAAGCAAATTGGGAAGCTTCAGTCAATCAAAGGTTTATTTTACACCTCTGTGACCTAGCCTGAACCAGTTTGTGCATTCCCTTCTTCTTTGATTTATGCAGAAAGCTCGAGTTAAAACACGGGTAAGTTAGCTCAACAGAATTTTAATGTAGCTTCAATGAAATCCACAACCCTCGGCATTAAATCTTAAACAAAATGATAAATATCACAACTATGAGATAACAAACAAACACTTAAACTACACACGCAACAACAACAACAAGATTCCATTTATAAAGCGCCTTTCACGTCAGGAGGACGTCCCAAGGCGCTGCACAGTTGGGTCATGACCCGAGCAGGGCGGAAATGATCAGGGGAGGGGAAGGAGCGAGGAGGGGGGAAATGGTCAGGGTGAGGGGAGGGAAGGGAGGGAGCGAGGAGGGGGAAGAGAGTCGAGAGGGGAGCTGAAGGCACGGTCAAAGAGAAAGGTTTTGAGACTGGCCTTGAAGGAGGGAAGGGAGGAAGCAAGGCGAAGGCACTGGGGGATAGAGTTCCAGAGCCTGGGGGCTGAGAGGCTGAAGGCCCGACCACCGATGGTAGGGCGGTTGGGGCGGGGGACGTGGAGCAGACCAGAGCCAGAGGAACGGAGGGTACGGGCAGGTAGGTAGGGGGATAGTAGGTTGGAGAGGTAGGAGGGAGCGAGGCCGTGAATGGCCTTGTAGGTGAGCAAGCAGCTACTTGTAATCAAGTTAATGTAAAAGTGCACGAAGAACTAATCTCTGACTACTACTCATTAATAATGAGAGCACATACCTTTGTTGTCATCAAGTAGAACATATGGCGACCATGAGCACATGGCGCTCATTCTTTTATGGGCATTGAGTCCCTCCCCGAATTAAGGTACTCAATGATAATTTTATTGCACCAATTACTTTATGTCCTCCCGACGTGAAAGACGCTCTATAAATGGAATCTTGTTGTTGTTGTTGTTATGTAACTGTTGCCTATTTTATGGTCCAATCAGATCCTCCCCTCAGTTGCCCAACAGGGGCAAGTACACTTCCAATCCTTCATTTGCATTTTAGAATGGTAAATTACCCGCCAAGTTGTTGCAATCGATGCTAGAGTCGGACTTGATGGCACCATAAATATTAAAAATGTTAAATACATAAAAAACATAAAATACATAAAAAAAAGCACGACTTAATATATTTAAACAACAGACAGGCATAGAAAACAAAATGGGTGTCTGTGACAGAGCTCAAACAGCGGAAGCTATGCTTGAAGCAAAAACTATGAAGGTATTTAAGAAGAATTTTGCCGCAAATGTGAGAGAGAAAACAATAGAAGGGTTTGGGAGAGATGGAGGATCCTGCGGAGAATAAACACTAGCATGGACCAGTTGAGTCGAATGGCCTGTTTCTGTGCTGTACTATTGAATGTAAATGCAATGTAAATGTGAAGCGCTTTGAGATGTCGAGAAGAAGTGATAAGGTGCTATATCAAATGCAAGGATTATTATTATAAATCTTCACATAAAAACATAAGCGCAATAATGCGGGGCTCAGCATTTTTGTCATAACAGAGAAGACAATTACTAGTATTTGATACATATTCAGACTGGCTTCCTCAATGGTCACATAGAGGTGCACTCTCCACCTCTCAAAGCCAGTCAGGAACCTCGGCGTTTTGTTCGACCCTGAGCTGTCCTTTCTCCCTCACATCCGCACCACAACTGGCACCGCCTTCCATCACCTCCGGAACATCGCCAGACTACGGCACTACCTCACCCCTCACGCTGCTGAAACTCTGGTCCACGCCTTTGTCACCTCAAGGCTGGACTATGGGAACTCTCTCCTCGCCGGCCTTCCCGGCCTCCCTCCACAAGCTGCAGGTCATTCAGAACTCTG